TCAACGGCGAGATCTGCGGCGTTGATGCGGGCTAGGTTCCGTGAAATTCGGTCCCGGTAGACCCACAGTTCTGGGTTCCACATGGAAGAACGCCTCCCTTTTGGTGCGTTGCTAGTGTGGTTAACCACAGGCAATGAGGGTGGCGACGGGTGGGCACGCTAGATACAAGGGTTCTTTCGGAGGACAATCTGCAGGCGACCGAGACGTACGAGGATTTTCGACACCGACACTTACGGATTTCAGATGCAGTACTGGGAGCTGGGTCTTAACGGAGTTCGGCAACAACGGTCGACGGTTCCGTGCGAAACGGCGGGGATGCAGAGGCGCTTGGTTAAGCGCGCAAAACCGACGGGAACAAGATTGGCAGTTAATTCCGACTCCGTTCGGGGGTACTAGCGACATCACCGGCAAAATTTTGCAACAGGTGGAGGGAGGGGACGACAGCTGTTTTTCGCCCCTGCCCGGGAGTTTTCGGCGAGTCACAACAACGCCGACAGTGCATGTGATGTCATCGGCAGTTCGAGTTCAACTTTGGAAAAATATTGGCGAGGTCAGGGGGAAGAGCAACAGCTGTTTTTCGCCTCTGCCCGGGAGTTTTCAGAGAAAAGCGGCAGAGTCCTCGGCGAGTCCCGACAAAGCAGCCGGGGGTATTGACGTCATACACACATGAGTTCAAGTTTTCGATGGAGTTTTCAAAACTGACATTCGGTCAGTTACGTGACCCGCCCATCTCGCCGAGTGTCGCTGATGCGCTACAACGACTTCGCAATTTTCGCGACGACTGCGACGACGAACCTCAACGATCCGGAGTCACGATTGAAGGAAATTTGGACTGGTTTCGGGATTCCCTACTAACGACAAGGCGGCCAACGGGTTCGCGCCAGCGACAAAAGTGGACTTAGGGGTGGCAGCTGCTGACAGCTGGAGATGCTGCAGCAATCAAGGATTTCAATTCTACCAGAGCAACAAGACAAAACGACAGCAATTTCGGATTGCAGCTGGTATAACTGGTGATACTGTGGTAGCATGGTGATTCGATGCTGCCACGCGGAGATTTTGGGGTAGCAGTCCTTTTTCGAGGGGGGGGGGGAAGAGCACTTGGCAGTTTTCTGACAGTCTCGTCAGACCCTGACGGTACGATGAACGGTTGTGATCAATTTCACCGACATCGACGGATTTCTACTCATCGAACTCTGACAGCGTGTCAGACTCCAGCCCAACATCGCGTTCATCGACACTGTCCGCCTCATGTTCGCCACATCCACGGTTCTTACTCAGCGACGGGTTTTCCAACTCGACATTCGCTTTCCAACGACATCGGCAGTATCAACGGCTGACATTCCAACTCTTTGAATTTCGCCTGGTCAACGCGCCCAGCCACGCGTCAACTCGAAAGTCAACGGGCTTCTGCACCGTTAGATCAGTTTCGACCGAGATCTTCAGTTTTCACGCTACTGCAAGACTCGACTACAGATAAGGGGGGCTTATCTAGAAGGTGGGAGAGTGTAATGAACATACATTCATTACTGCGGAAACTGCTCCTAGCGAGGACAGCCCCGAGCACTTCGCGTCAGGTTTTGGTTCGGCCTACATTTCGGCACGAACCACTTCCGAGTCGCCCATCACCAATCGCGACATTTCTGAGCCACGCATATTACGAGGTTCTCGCCTAGCTAGTTTCCGCCCTATAAATGCCCGCTTTTTTCATTGTTTCATGATTCTGTAATTCATCATTTTTATAAAGTCTCCCGCGCACTCTGATTAGTACAACCCATAACAAAATTTCTCGACGTAGTTACCATTCGCGTGATCACTCACCTGTGTCGAGTCACCAAATGCGTGAAGTGGGTTACCAAACGCGCGAAAATACAAGACAAAGTTATAGTAGGAGTTATAATGCCCCATATATTACCACTGACATAATTTCCCTGCTAATAAACATCACTTTTTTGTGGCGACGGCACCGGAAACAATCTGCTAATTCCTTGAGAATGTGGGGCAGACTGGTTGGCTCTACTTTTCGCTTGGGCTGGTCGCTACCGTCGCACGTTGCCCGCGCCAATGGAATGGCTCATCCCTGATCGCGTGTCCGATGTGACTGCTGTGTCAGCAAGCAAGTAGCCAATCAGCTTGTATGATGCTGGCTGTATGACGTGACCCTTGCTTCGGGCACCCTGAAGCAAATCAGTTCGCTTTTTGCTATCGCCCGCTGCTGCTGGCCACATATCACCCTCTCAGCACGTGCCAGACTCCTCATCCATTCACGCCATCTCCCGCCTCCTCGATTTCAGACTGTCGCCGCCAACTCGTTGGAGAGGCGAACGGAAGTGAAAGTCAGCAGTCACGCACTCGTCGTCGCCTGTAAATGTCGCCCACAGATATGCAGGCAGGAGTCCGAAAGAAAGCGTCGCACGATGATTTGTTTGTTTTGAGGAAAGTCGCATGGGTCGGTCGCACCTCTGTGGTGGATGCGCTGCACCTCGCTGCTTTCTGGGCATTTGTCGTCACACGTTCCAAAACTGTCGCGCACCTGAAACCTCTTCTCAAAGCGCGTTCTCGGGCAGGCAACTTACGATTACAGTGTACGAGACACCAATCTAATCGGGGAAAATATGCGAATGGTAACATACATGGGGCTTTATAACACGTACTGTAACCATAACAATGAAATTTCACGCGTTTGGTAACTCGATTCACGCGTTTGGTAACTATACACTGGCAAGCCATCACGCGAATGGTAACTAGAAGAAACCCTGGTCCAAATTGACCCTGATTATGGTTTTTCCCGCTCGCGCCAGACTGAATTGACGAGTCCAGAAGCACGAAATTCTGACACACTTTCCGAGATTCTGACACACTTCCTATCAGAATCCTAGCGTGAGTTTGGCTTAGGAGCCATAGTTTAGGAGCCTTGGTAGTTGAGTTCGAGTTTAGGAAAAGTATCGAGAGGTTTGGAAGGAGAGGAATGGGGTTTCACTAGCAAGAGTTGGGATACAAGTACAACACCCTAAATTGGGTTGTACTCATTACAGAGTACCCCACTGCAGGCTAGACAGCAAATACATTCTGACACTTCCCGGACATACTTTCCGAAATTCGGACTATTTCGTGAAAAGTTGCTGTTTTGAAAACCGTTTCTCATATAATGCTGATATTCTGACGCTCGCGGAAAATTGAATCTACTTAATTCTATCGTACAACCGGGGCAAAAAATATATAGCCCTTTCGGATGGCAAATGATTTTGAGAGCATCAACCCTAAACTCCTTGCGACAAGGCGTTCAAGGGTATTATTTTCCCACCTCCAAAATTATCCCACGTTGCATTAATGACACATTTTTTTTAAATAAAATTATTGTCGCTTTTCCGGGAAAATTTCCTCATTTTGCAATTATGCGATCATGCTTGCAAAAATATATTTGTACTTGTTAGTTATATATTTTCGAGCTTAAAATAGGTATGAAACGGCTCTGAAACTATTTGGTCCGTGGTAATTGAACAAACACGATCCTTCAATGGCACGGCGGGAATCGTTCAAGATCGATAAAACGGTCCGTGTAATCTCTCAATTTAACAAATGCCTCTTAGTCAGGATCATTTCGGCGGGAGTTTCATCTAGTTACCATTCGCGTGATCATTCGCCTGTGCTAAGTTACCAATTGCGTGAAACGAGTTACCAAACGCGTGAAAATGCACTGTAATAGTTACTGTACGCGTTAAAGAGCCCCATGTATGTTACCATTGGCATACTTTCCCATCTAATCGCAGCTTTGTCCTGAAATCCCAATACTACCGCCACTTACTTTTCCACCTCCTTCCGGCAATCCTCTATGGAAGCCTCCTCCTTGCTCCCACCTTTGTCAGGTTCGGTTCCCCGTCCCAACTTCTCTCCCTGCACATTTCCCTTGTCCCCCACCACCTCCACTTCTCCCTCCTCGTGCTTTGTATGGCGGGCTGCCCAGTCGCGTGCCGTCAGATTTTGATGCTCCAGTGACTGACAGAACAAATCCTTGTTTCAAAGGAATCTGTGTTTCAGAACCCTGATGACCAACCAAAGCATGAACCATGTCACGACGACAAGCCCTGACAATGCAGCAAAAGACGCGCCGCCGCCGCCCTTGTCTTCCCTCCTTCCAGCCAGCCCTAGTTCCCCAATCTCACACTTCTCTCCTCTCGTCTCGTCTCTTCCTATCCACTCCACACACACGTCTCTCCAGGACTGTCTCTGGACTACAGTACACACAACACTGGATTCAGAACACTTGAAACCAGACTGGATAAGAATTTCCAGAGCAATGTTTAGGGCAGGAGCAACAGAAACTATAATTCTTGGATTCCATCGTTTTTCGCACCCCTCCCCACCCCACCCTCCCTCCCCTTTCAAGCCTCTCTTTTCCCGCTCTCCCAGATGCTATGCTTGAAGCTGCACACACACCCATTCATGCTCCGTTCTCCCAACCTCCGACCCTTGACAGCCACTGCGAGTCCCCATCTCATCACATCCTGAAAGCTCCATCTCACAACACTCTCTGACATGTTGGTTCAAGTATCTGTATGAGGAAGGAACCCTAAAAGGGTCACGCTGCGTCGGACAATGCAAGAACACACGTTCATGAAATCCGAAATTTTATATTACGGTCATTGTTGTTGCGTTTTTTTCTCGTAGAGATGAAGTATCCGTCGCTCGGTGGTGCTGCTACCAGCACCAGTTGCCAGAATATGCGAGTGGAAATTCCTTGACAGCACAACTGTTGAGAAAATACGCGACAGCAAAATTGTTGATAAAGATCGCTATCGGTTTGGAACGAGAATCAATACGGCCTGACCATCATACCATTTACCCCTCTCAAGCGGTCCGTGTCCTTTCTCTTCCTCGGATAACTCATTGCCGATAGCAACTGCCAGAGCGCTTTAGATTGCGAATTCATCCGATCTATTAAATCTGAACCTTATCTGATTCGCCTTCGCGTGGCGATGGGTCCTCGCACGACGACCGGCGCGATGTGCGGGCTCGGCGTTCGCATGAGCCCCAAGGCAACGATTTTCAGCACGAGCGAGGCGGCGTGCGACGTGTACGATGCGGGCGACGACGCCGGCGAGTGCACGTGGGCGTCGCTGCCGCCCGAGCTGCTGCGCGACGTGATCGCACGCGTGGAGGCGAGCGACAGCTCGTGGCCCGGCCGGCGCAGCGTCGTTGCGTGCGCGGGTGTCTGCCGCTCTTGGCGGGAGCTTACTCGGTACGTACCATCTTGTAGCGACTCGCCACGTGATACCTTGTAATGACTTGGTACCACATGCGTTGGTGTCTTAAAATTTTTCAAAATCAACGAAAGCTAGCCACGGTCGGCGGGAGCTGACACTGTACGCTTTGCTTTTATCAGAAGCGTCTCGACGATGCGGCAAGAAATCATTAGATTTCACGTAAGGCGGGCGCTCTCGAGATTAGCCGTGAACTACCACTGTACGCTTTGTTCTCTGCGCACCTCCCCTCTCTGCTCTCCTCTCTCGCCCCGCTCCGTCTGTTCCCCTCGTTTCCCCGTCCCCAAACTCCCCTCCGCCCCATCCCGCAACCCCCCCCACGCGCAGGGAGCTGCGGCAATCCCAGGGGTCATACGAGCCGTCAGGGCAAATAACGAACTCCGACGAGCTGAGGAAGCCCCTGCCGGGGCCGGCACGTTCGCGCATCCACCATCCCCACTTTCTCCCATCCCCTCTCTCCCGCTTCCCCACTTCCCCCCTTCCTCCCCTTCCGCGCATCCCGCCCTTCCCCCGATCCCACCTTCCGCCCATTTCTGCCCGAGACAGCGAGCTGCTGCAATCCCAGGGCTCGTACGAGTCGTCTGGGCAAATAACCTTTCCCGACGAGTTAAGAACGCCCGGGCCGCGCGACCGCTGCGTGGAGTGCTTCATTCGCCGCTCGCGCAAGACCGGCACGTTCACGCTGTTTCTGGGCGTGCCGCCGAATTCGACGGAAAACGGCAAGTTCCTGCTCGCGGCGCGCAAGTGCGGCTGGCGGCCGTCAAGGTAAGCGGATAGCCGACTGCTTTAAAAAATCGTTTGACCCTAAACCGGAGTTGGTGTTTGTGCTTGTAGCCCTATTCTGCCCGTTTAACAAACCCTTGTTTGTGCTGGTTACGCCAATGCCTTCGTTCGCTTCAAATCGCACACCTGAGTTTGTGTCTCGCAAATTCACGTTTGCATGGAAAAAGTGTTTGTGCTGGTCACCCTATTGTGTCCGTTTCGCTCTGTTTCGCAACTTTCGAAATCATTCCAGCATGGAGTACGTGGTCTCGCTGGATCCGAAAGACTTTTCGCGCGGCGGAAGTTCGTTCGTCGGTCGCCTGCGAGCGAATTTCCTAAGCACGCGATTTGCCGTCTTTGAATCGTCGCATGAGGTGAGCGATGAAACCTGAGTTCGTTCGCATCGCACAATGTTAGGAAGGTTACAGTTCTACAACCGACTTTTGAGTCGTCTTAGAATAGACTTTTTTCACACAATATTAAGAAGGTTACACTCCTTCAACCGAGGTGTTTTAGAGTTTGAATAGTTAGGGGTAACTTGGATGTGAAGACTTCTAGAAGAAGCTTACGGCTCTTCAACCCGCACCCGTATTTGCTACAGTATTGGAGTTCTTCTTTCGTAGTGTATATTGTCTTGACGGATCCGCCGCAGCTACCATAGCGCTCGACACCCAGGGTGTAAGAAAGCTGTCGCGAATGCCATAGGCGAGAAAAGTTGCACCCAGTAACGCAGTATTTATCTTCCAAGCCCAAAACTGTCGAAGCTCCTCTCGGCGTCCGTTAATTTGCGCCAATTTTACCGTTTCGCCTGCCCCCCCATTCCTCTCCCTCCCCTCCTCACCCTCACCCCCCCCCCCCCCCCTCCGCCCTCCCGTCCCCCCCGCGCCGCATTTCCTGCGCATTTCCTCGTGCAGCCCGCGTTTTCTCTCGGCGCGGCGTCGCTGGCGCACGGCGGAAGCAGCAGCAGCAGCCGCAAGGTGCATCCCCGCGGAGCCGCTTTTTCCGCCAACGGTTACCACCACTGTAACCACTGTAGCAATCGGTGTGGTAACCACCATTGTGGTTACAACTGTGGCAGCAGCAGCACGGGCAGCAGCGGGGCCGGCACCCCTGTCGCGTGTAACGGTAACTTGGGCAGCTTTAACGGTTCCAGCTGTAGCGGCGCCAGCTGTAGCAGGGGTAGCGACGGGACAGGATTACTCGGCGCAGGTATTACCAGCAGTAGTGGCAGCGGCAGCGCCATTGGTGGTCGGGGCGATTGTAACGGCGCAAATGACGCTGACACGGCCACGTCAGCAGCGGTATCGTCAAGCCTCCGCGCACATTCCCCGTCCCTCTCAGCTTCCCCCTCCCCCGCCCCTTCCCCCTCCGCCTCCGCCCGCGCGCTAACCGCCTGCCTCTCCCGCTCCGCCAACAACCTCGAGGGCTTCCGCTCCCCGCGCCTCCCTTCCGCCTCCGCGCCCCCTTCCGCTGCGCCTTCCCCTTGCCCCGCCGTCTCCGACTTTGCCTCCCCCCAATTCAAACCCAGCTGCATCGGCAGCCCCTTCCCCGGAAGCAGCGCGCACAGCTGCGGGGGAGGCGCAGGTGGGGGAAGCGGCGGGGGGAGCGGGGGAAGCGGGGGGAGTAGCGGGCCGGTGGTGTCTGTAGCATATGCGCTGAACGTGCTGGGGGTGCGCGGACCTAGGCGCATTCTCTGCACTCTTCACCAGGTCCCCGCGGGCGCGGCGGTCACTGGCGGAGGGGGAAGCGGGGCGGCAGGCGCGGGGCGAGGCGCGGGAGGGAAGGCGGGGAGAGGAACGGGGGAGGAAGCGGGGGGGGGAAGGGGGGAGGGGAGGTCGTTGGCAAGGGGGGCAAGTGGGGGGAGTGGGCGGGGATGGGGGGACGCTTCCGCGGTAGCGGAGGCAGCGGGGGAGGCAGCGGCGGAGGGGGCCAGGCGGGCAGCTGCTGCGGCAGCTGATGTTGCTGGCACCGCCGCCGCTGCTTTAGGCTTAGATCCCGTTATAGGCACGTCCGATATAGGCACGTTACGAAGCCCGCGTCCTGCCTCCCTTCCTCCCGTTACAACCTCTGATAGAAGCTCCGTTTCAACTCCTCCCGTTACAGTTCCCCCTAGCACCCCTCCCCCTGCTACCCCTTCCCCCGCAACTGCTGCCGTCCTAGCCGCTGGTGCTGCCGCTGCTGCCGCCACCTCCCCGCTCCTCTCCTCCCTCTTCCATTCCAACCGCTATAGTCACACTCGCTACAGTAACCACTCGTGCGATCTCCCAGAGGAACAAAAATCGGATGAGCAAGCACCTGGCCAATCCCAGCCTCCCACGTGTACCTCCTCTTTCACCCCTTCCCCGCTTCCCCGCCCCTCCTGGCCCTCATCCCCCGCTTCTTCCCCCTCCGCCGCCCACCCTGCTGGCGCAACCTCCGCCCCGCCCCACTTCCCCGCCCCTTCCGCCCTCCACTCCCCCGCTTCCCCCCCTGACGTGCTAATTGCCCCCACAGGCTCCTCCGCTTCTCCCTCCCCTTCCGCTTCCGCCTCAGCCGCTCCCCCCTGCCCCGCTTCCGCCTTCCCCCCTTGCTCGGAGCTTCCCTCTTCCGCGCTGTCTTCCGCCTCCCCCGCCGCCCGTTCTTGCGCATACAGGCTCAGTGGGGGGAAGGGGGAGGCGGGGGGGATTGTGAGTGAGTTTGAGTGGGGAGGGGGGGAGAGAGAGGAGGTGACTGTAGAAGAAGTGACTGAAGGGAGAGTGGGAGGGCGGGAGGAAGAGGGGAAGGGAGAGAGAGGGGAGGGGAAGAGAGTGGAGAGAGGGGAGGTAGAGAGGGAGGAGGGGACGGGAGAGGAGAGGAGGAAGAACGAGACCGAGGAGAGGCAAGAGAAGGAGGAGAGGGAGGAGGAGGAGAGATTGCTGGTGAGGCTCACAGGGAGTGGAGAAGAGGAGGGGGAGGGCGAGAAGCAAGAACGCACAGCAGCGGAGGAAGCAAGGGAAGCGAGGGAAGCAAGGTCACCACCCACAATCTGCACAAGAGAGCCCTTGGTCTCGTTCCCAGAGAGTGGGGAAGAGATGGGTGCGGGAGAGAGCATGGGGAGCAGTGGTAAGGAGGAGAGCGATGAGCAGCAGAGCATGCGAGAGGAGGGTGTGGAAGAAGGGGGGCAGTGGGAGAAGAAGAGTCAAGAGGAGAGCAGTCCGGAGGACGGGAGTTTAGAGGAGGGGAATCAGCAGGAGGAGTGTGGGGATTGGCCGACAGACGGCGCGTGTGAGCAGCAGGAGAGCAGTGGAGAGGGAAGGAGTGAGCAGGAGGGCAATCAGGGTTGGTTGCAAGGCGGAGGTTTTCAGGTGGCTTTTGAGTCAACTCAAATCACGCAAGGCGGAGGTTTCCAGGAAAGCAGCGGCAGCGAAGGCCTTCATATCTCCCCCTTCCCCGCCTCCGCGGACCCCTTCCTTCCCCCTGCTGCCCTTGAGCTTCCCCCTGCCGCCCTGCCCTTGCCCCTGCCCCTGCCCCTGCCCCTGCCCTTGCCCACATTGGAACTAGAAGCGGCACTAACAGCAGCAGCAGCAGCAGCATCAGCAGCAACAGCAAGCGGAACGGCATGGTCAGAAGCAGCAGCAGCAAGAGCTGTGGCTTCACCAGAAGCAGCAGCAGCAAGAGCTGTGGCTTCACCAGAAGCAGCAGCAGCAGGTGCCAGAGCTGCGGCGGCTGTCACTCCCCCATTCGCCTCCTCCTCTCTCCCCTCGGGTCCCTTGACTCCCCCATTCACCCCTTCCTCTCTCCCTGCTGCAGCTGCGACTCCCCCATTTGCTGCTTCGTCTGCCCCGTCTCCTGCCGCCCTTCCTGCTGCTCCTTCTGCTTCTGCTGCTCCTTCCCCTGCTGCTGCGCCTCCTGCTTTCAATGCAGAGGCAGATGCGGAGGGTGACACTGAGGGTGACTGTACGGAGTGTGACTGTGTGCGGTGCATCGGCCGAGCGCCTCTAGAGCCCATGGTGTTGCGGAACAAGCCACCCAGATGGCACGAGCAGCTGCAGGTATGTGTGTTTATTGGGGAATGAGGAGCGGTGCACAGCAGTACAGGGGAGTATTAAGCGGTGTTCGTATGGAAATAGATGAAGCCGAGCGCCCTTAGAGCCCATGGTGTTGCGGAACAAGCCTCCCAGATGGCACGAGCAGCTGCAGGTATGTGTGTGGGTGCTGGGGGGTGGGAAGCGGTGCACGGGAGTACAAGGTAGTTCAAGGGAGTATGAGGCCGAGCGCCTCTGGAGCCCATGGTGTTGCGGAACAAGTCTCGCAGATGGCACGAGCAGCTGCAGGTGAGGGGATACAAGGGGATATGGAGGAGTGCAAAGGAGTATAAGGGAGTATATGGGAGTATATGGGAGTATAGGGCAATATAAAGCTTTTTATCATGGGCCGAGCGCCCCTAGAGACTGTGGTATCGAGGAACAAGCCTCCCCGGTGGCACGCGCAGCTGCAGGTGTGTGTGTATTGAGGAAGGCAATTACAGATTAGAAAGCGAAATCTATCATGAAACATTGGGCCGAGCGCTCCCTCCCCTCCCCTCGCCTCCCCTCCTCGCCTTCCAGTGCTGGTGCCTCAACTTCAGAGGGCGAGTAACGGTTGCTTCGGTGAACAACTTCCAGCTGATAGAGGGGGGCGGGCCGGGGAGCATCTCAGATAAGGCCCTTCCAATCCTCCCTTGCATCCCCTTTTCCTGTCCATCCCATACACGCTTCCAGTGCTGGTGCCTCAACTTCAGGGGGCGAGTGACAGGGGGTGCTTCTGTGAAGAATTTCCAGCTGATAGAGGGGGGGGGGGGGCGGGGAACGACTCGGACAAGCCCCCTTCTCATCCCGCCCTTGCCTCCCCTTGCCTGCCCTCCCCCTCCCACACTGCCAGTGCTGGTGCTTGAACTTCAGGGGGCGAGTGACAGTGGCTTCAGTGAAGAACTTCCAGCTGATCGAGGGGGGCGGGCCGCGGAACGACTCTGACAAGCCGGTGTTGCTCCCCCCTTTCCCACCCCCTACCCGCCTCCCCTTTCCCGTACTCCCTTGCAGTGTTGGTGCCTCAACTTCCGTGGCCGCGTGACAGTAGCATCAGTGAAGAATTTTCAGCTGATAGAGGGGGGCGGGCCGGGGAACGACTCGGACAAGCCGGTGCTGCTGCAGTTCGGGAAGATTGGCAAGGACACTTTTACTATGGACTACAGATATCCACTCACGGCCTTCCAGGTGTGTTATTCTAGCACAAGTGCTGGTGTGTATGGTGCGGTGCCCTGAAGGTGTTGCTGCAGTTTGGGAAGATTGGCAAGGACACGTTCACCATGGACTACAGATACCCGCTTACTGCCTTCCAGGTGGGTGCTTCTTCTTTGAATGCTAGTGTGTATGGTTCGGAGCCCTGCCGGTGCTGCTGCTGCAGTTTGGCAAGATCGGAAAGGACACCTTTACCATGGACTACAGATACCCGCTTACGGCCTTCCAGGTGCGTAGTGCATGTGCCAAGTGCGTGCTGCTCTGTGTGGCTGAGGGTAGCTCATAGAGAGGAGCGGACCGGGGAACGACTCTGATAAGCCAGTGCTGCTGCAGTGTGGGAAGATTGGCAAGGACACTTTCACCATGGATAACAGATACCCGCTTACTGACTCCAGGTGGGTAGTGAAGTGCTGTTTCATGTGGTTAAAAATCGGTGCTCTGCCAGTGCTGCTGCTGCAGTTTGGCAAGATCGGCAAGGACACATTCACCATGGACTACAGATACCCGCTCACGGCCTTCCAGGTGGGTAGTGCTGCGTGTTCAGGGTGAGTTTCCTTTCAGGTATTGATACGCATGCAAGCCGGTGTTGCTGCAGTTGGGAAGATTGGCAAGGACACATTCACCATGGATTACAGATATCCACTCACGGCCTTCCAGGTAAGTGTGGACGGCCAGGTGTTTCCTCAGGTTTGTCTTTGGGTATCGTGTCAATACGCTTTCCCCATCTCCCGTCTCCCCGTGTTCTCTTCCCCTTGCCTTCTGGGCTGTTTTCTTTGTGCGTGCCCACATGTCACATGTCACATGTGCTTTCCTTGCTTCATATCACATGTCTGACGGATTGTTTTCTGCTTTGTATGTGTTCCCACGTCATGTGTGTTTTCCCTACATTATGCGTGCAGGCGTTTGCCATTTGCCTGAGCAGTTTTGATACCAAAGTGGCGTGCGAGTGATTCCATCATCACTTCCATCATCAGTTGAAAGCTTTTCAAGCTGTTGTTTTGTCGAGTCCAAAATCCACGTGCGAGCGAAATAGTGACACCGACGGCTTTTCGCGTTGCGTTCTAGATATGGTGTGGTGTGGTGTGGTACTGATGATGCGTGAGGAGGATTCCTCACTCAGGAACAACCAAGGGCAACAAATGAAAAAAAGACAGCGTGATGATATCTGGGAGACTGGAAAAGGGCATGTGCGTTGTGCTGATACAGCGGGTGGTGGTGGTGGTGTATTTTTTCTGCTTTGCGGTGCAATGCTGCGGATGAAAAGGTACTGGTAAGTTTCCTCTGGAGGAACAGGATTGTCTTTTGTGTACCTCGGATATGGGTTGGTCATTAAGGTTTGGACAAAAGTGTTTAGGGACGGATGGTGATGACTGATTCAGGGATGTAGTCATGCTGGTGCCCTTGTTTGTTATTCCTGTACTCTTTGTATTGTAACGAAATTGTGGCTTATGTTTGTATCAGAGTAGAAGTTCACGGTACCTCCGTAGCTGAAGTGCATCTGCCCGTATCGGGTACAACCGGTTACCAGATTCCTCCTAAAGCTTGGACAATTGTCGGTTCAGCTGGTTCTACAACGGTCAATTTGATACCTAGGCTGGTTGGTTAGGGTATATCGGGACGCTGATTCAAATCTGACCGACTAATAAATGGGACGAGCAGTCCTGTGCTACTTCGTTGCTGTGACATAGCCATTTCTACGAGCTTCACTAGAATCCAGTTTTCTACGAGCTTCGCTAGAATCCAGTTTTCCTCCGCTCCCGCTTTATCCATGGCCACGTCAGCATCCGCGACGCCGGAGGCATGGCTGCAGAATCAGCTCCTAGCGATGCGCGACGCGCTGCCGTTCCTGGATGCTGACATGGTGTCAGGCCTAGTCAGCTACTGCCCTAACGCCTCCGATGCTGACGTGGCAGAGTATCTTTCGAATATCGTCGGCGAATCGGATCAGTCCATGGCCGTAGTTTCCGGATATTTGGAACGAAGGCGTCAGATGAAGCAGGGCGGGGCGCCGTCTCGGCCGCCGCAAATTCCGGCGCAGAATATGCCGCGAAACGCTCGAGGAAAGCAGCAACAGCAGCAGCAGGCGCAGGATTATAGTCACACCAAATACAGTAACGAGAACCCTAACATAGAGGTCTACGTGAAGCCCAAGTTCGACGAAGCTTCCGGATCTGTCTCCGCGCCCTCGCGCAGGACCGGCGCAGGGGGAGGGTTGGGGGAAGGGGGAAACGCAGGGGGGGCGGAGGCTCCGGAAGGTGCGGCAGCGAGCGCTGCTGCTGGCGGAAAGGTTGGCGGAAGGACTGGCGGAGGGGTTGGCGGAGGGGCGGGAGGAAGCGCGGGCGGGGGGAAATCCGCGGGCGGAAGGAAGCGGAGGGGCGGGGTGGCGGTGGGTCTGGCGGACTTGGAGCAAGGGCGGGTGTTTAAGCAAGGCGCGCCGTGCGAGTGCCAGGCGGCGATCCATCACTTAGTTAACAACTGCTTAGCGTGTGGGAAGATCGTGTGCGAGCAGGAGGGCGAAGGGCCGTGTAAGTTCTGCGGCGTTTTAGTGCTTAGAGGGTCGGATAGTATGGGGGATGCGGCGCCAGGGGTGGGAATGGAGGGGGAATGGGAGGAATGGGAGGAGGTGGGAGGAGCAGCAGCAGGGACAACGGAAGCTGAGGCGAAGGCTCTAGCGTTTAGGGATAGACTGGTGGAGTATAATCGTACGTCGGCCCAACGGACGGTCGTGATCGACGATCAGAGCGACTATTTTAAATCCAACGGTGCAGACGGGGACGGGGACGCTTGGCTGACGAATGAGGAGAGGGAGATTTTGAGGAGGAGAGAGGAGGAGAGGGAGAGGGAGGAGGAGGAGAGGAGGAGGAGGGTGGTTGTTACGCTCGATCTGATTGGTCGACGGGTTCTCGTGGCGGATAGCCCTGGAGCTGACGTGGCAGGGGGTGGAGCTGTCGTGGCAGGGTCTGAGGGAGCCAAACCAGGGCAGAAAGGTTCTGAGAAGCAGACAAAGGCTGCAAGTGGGGGGGCAAGTGGGAGGCGAGGGGGAGGTAGAACTGGTGTAGGCAGTATCTTCCTGATGGGGGGCCAAGGAGACAAGGAGCAAGGAGAGAGGGACCAGATCCCAACAATGAAGCAGGAAGTGGTTTCAGGGATAAAAGTGCTTATAAAGGGGGAAGGTGGGGGTGGGGGAGGTTCGGCAGCGGGTGGATCAGGCCGAAACCTCCCAATTGCAGCTCCCGTGTTTGTTAAACCAAGCAGTGCTAACAGTAGTACCAATGGTGCTAGTGGTACTGGTGGTGCTGCTGTTGCTGGTGGTGCTGCTGCTGGTGGTGCTAGTTCAAATGAGGCAACTGGGCAAGGCAAGAAGGGCGGTAAGGGGAAGAAGGGGCAGCAGGAGCAGCAGCACGTGAAGGAGCAGGAGAGTGACAGAAGGAGAGGTGCTTATAAGGAGGGCATGGCGAGGCTTCAGCATGATTCCCCACTGATGGAAGCTATGAGGGAGATAGAGGAGGAGGTGGGGGGGAGGAGCGGGGGGGGCGGGAACAGAAGGACCCGCGACCGCTGCGTGGAGTGCTTCATTCGCCGCTCGCGCAAGACCGGCACGTTCACGCTGTTTCTGGGCGTGCCGCCGAATTCGACGGAAAACGGCAAGTTCCTGCTCGCGGCGCGCAAGTGCGGCTGGCGGCCGTCAAGGTAAGCGGATAGCCGACTGCTTTAAAAAATCGTTTGACCCTAAACCGGAGTTGGTGTTTGTGCTTGTAGCCCTATTCTGCCCGTTTAACAAACCCTTGTTTGTGCTGGTTACGCCAATGCCTTCGTTCGCTTCAAATCGCACACCTGAGTTTGTGTCTCGCAAATTCACGTTTGCATGGAAAAAGTGTTTGTGCTGGTCACCCTATTGTGTCCGTTTCGCTCTGTTTCGCAACTTTCGAAATCATTCCAGCATGGAGTACGTGGTCTCGCTGGATCCGAAAGACTTTTCGCGCGGCGGAAGTTCGTTCGTCGGTCGCCTGCGAGCGAATTTCCTAAGCACGCGATTTGCCGTCTTTGAATCGTCGCATGAGGTGAGCGATGAAACCTGAGTTCGTTCGCATCGCACAATGTTAGGAAGGTTACAGTTCTACAACCGACTTTTGAGTCGTCTTAGAATAGACTTTTTTCACACAATATTAAGAAGGTTACACTCCTTCAACCGAGGTGTTTTAGAGTTTGAGTAGTTAGGGGTAACTTGGATGTGAAGACTTCTAGAAGAAGCTTACGGCTCTTCAACCCGCACCCGTATTTGCTACAGTATTGGAGTTCTTCTTTCGTAGTGTATATTGTCTTGACGGATCCGCCGCAGCTACCATAGCGCTCGACACCCAGGGTGTAAGAAAGCTGTCGCGAATGCCATAGGCGAGAAAAATTGCACCCAGTAACGCAGTATTTATCTTCCAAGCCCAAAACTGTCGAAGCTCCTCTCGGCGTCCGTTAATTTGCGCCAATTTTACCGTTTCGCCTGCCCCCCCATTCCTCTCCCTCCCCTCCTCACCCTCACCCCCCCCCCCCCCCCTCCGCCCTCCCGTCCCCCCCGCGCCGCATTTCCTGCGCATTTCCTCGTGCAGCCCGCGTTTTCTCTCGGCGCGGCGTCGCTGGCGCACGGCGGAAGCAGCAGCAGCAGCCGCAAGGTGCATCCCCGCGGAGCCGCTTTTTCCGCCAACGGTTACCACCACTGTAACCACTGTAGCAATCGGTGTGGTAACCACCATTGTGGTTACAACTGTGGCAGCAGCAGCACGGGCAGCAGAGGGGCCGGCACCCCTGTCGCGTGTAACAGTAACTTGGGCAGCTTTAACGGTTCCAGCTGTAGCGGCGCCAGCTGTAGCAGGGGTAGCGACGGGACAGGATTACTCGGCGCAGGTATTACCAGCAGTAGTGGCAGCGGCAGCGCCATTGGTGGTCGGGGCGATTGTAACGGCGCAAATGACGCTGACACGGCCACGTCAGCAGCGGTATCGTCAAGCCTCCGCGCACATTCCCCGTCCCTCTCAGCTTCCCCCTCCCCCGCCCCTTCCCCCTCCGCCTCCGCCCGCGCGCTAACCGCCTGCCTCTCCTGCTCCGCCAACAACCTCGAGGGCTTCCGCTCCCCGCGCCTCCCTTCCGCCTCCGCGCCCCCTTCCGCTGCGCCTTCCCCTTGCCCCGCCGTCTCCGACTTTGCCTCCCCCCAATTCAAACCCAGCTGCATCGGCAGCCCCTTCCCCGGAAGCAGCGCGCACAGCTGCGGGGGAGGCGCAGGTGGGGGAAGCAGCGGGGGGATTGGCGGGGGAAGCGGCGGGGGGAGCGGGGGAAGCGGGGGGAGTAGCGGGCCGGTGGTGTCTGTAGCATATGCGCTGAACGTGCTGGGGGTGCGCGGACCTAGGCGCATTCTCTGCACTCTGCACCAGGTCCCCGCGGGCGCGGCGGTCACTGGCGGAGGGGGAAGCGGGGCGGCAGGCGCGGGGCGAGGCGCAGGAGGGAAGGCGGGGAGAGGAACGGGGGAGGAAGCGGGGGGGGGAAGGGGGGAGGGGAGGTCGTTGGCAAGGGGGGCAAGTGGGGGGAGTGGGCGGGGATGGGGGGACGCTTCCGCGGTAGCGGAGGCAGCGGGGGAGGCAGCGGCGGAGGGGGCCAGGCGGGCAGCTGCTGCGGCAGCTGATGTTGCTGGCACCGCCGCCGCTGCTTTAGGCTTAGATCCCGTTATAGGCACGTCCGATATAGGCACGTTACGAAGCCCGCGTCCTGCCACCCTTCCTCCCGTTACAACCTCTGATAGAAGCTCCGTTTCAACTCCTCCCGTTACAGTTCCCCCTAGCACCCCTCCCCCTGCTACCCCTTCCCCCGCAACTGCTGCCGTCCTAGCCGCTGGTGCTGCCGCTGCTGCCGCCACCTCCCCGCTCCTCTCCTCCCTCTTCCATTCCAACCGCTATAGTCACACTCGCTACAGTAACCACTCGTGCGATCTCCCAGAGGAACAAAAATCGGATGAGCAAGCACCTGGCCAATCCCAGCCTCCCACGTGTACCTCCTCTTTCACCCCTTCCCCGCTTCCCCGCCCCTCCTGGCCCTCATCCCCCGCTTCTTCCCCCGCCGCCGCCCACCCAGCTGGCGCAACCTCCGCCCCGCCCCACTTCCCCGCCCCTTCCGCCCTCCACTCCCCCGCTTCCCCCCCTGACGTGCTAATTGCCCCCACAGGCTCCTCCGCTTCTCCCTCCCCTTCCGCTTCCGCCTCAGCCGCTCCCCCCTGCCCCGCTTCCGCCTTCCCCCCTTGCTTGGAGCTTCCCTCTTCCGCGCTGTCTTCCGCCTCCCCCGCCGCCCGTTCTTGCGCATACAGGCTCAGTGGGGGGAAGGGGGAGGCGGGGGGGATTGTGAGTGAGTTTGAGTGGGGAGGGGGGGAGAGAGAGGAGGTGACTGTAGAAGAAGTGACTGAAGGGAGAGTGGGAGGGCGGGAGGAAGAGGGGAAGGGAGAGAGAGGGGAGGGGAAGAGAGTGGAGAGAGGGGAGGTAGAGAGGGAGGAGGGGACGGGAGAGGAGAGGAGGAAGAACGAGACCGAGGAGAGGCAAGAGAAGGAGGAGAGGGAGGAGGAGGAGAAATTGCTGGTGAGGCTCACAGGGAGTGGAGAAGAGGAGGGGGAGGGCGAGAAGCAAGAACGCACAGCAGCGGAGGAAGCGAGGGAAGCGAGGGAAGCAAGGTCACCACCCACAATCTGCACAAGAGAGCCCTTGGTCTCGTTCCCAGAGAGTGGGGAAGAGATGGGTGCGGGAGAGAGCATGGGGAGCAGTGGTAAGGAGGAGAGCGATGAGCAGCAGAGCATGCGAGAGGAGGGTGTGGAAGAAGGGGGGCAGTGGGAGAAGAAGAGTCAAGAGGAGAGCAGTCCGGAGGACGGGAGTTTAGAGGAGGGGAATCAGCAGGAGGAGTGTGGGGATTGGCCGACAGACGGCGCGTGTGAGCAGCAGGAGAGCAGTGGAGAGGGAAGGAGTGAGCAGGAGGGCAATCAGGGTTGGTTGCAAGGCGGAGGTTTCCAGGTGGCTTTTGAGTCAACTCAAATCACGCAAGGCGGAGGTTTCCAGGAAAGCAGCGGCAGCGAAGGCCTTCATATCTCCCCCTTCCCCGCCTCCGCGGACCCCTTCCTTCCCCCTGCTGCCCTTGAGCTTCCCCCTGCCGCCCTGCCCTTGCCCCTGCCCCTGCCCCTGCCCCTGCCCTTGCCCACATTGGAACTAGAAGCGGCACTAACAGCAGCAGCAGCAGCAGCATCAGCAGCAACAGCAAGCGGAACGGCATGGTCAGAAGCAGCAGCAGCAAGAGCTGTGGCTTCACCAGAAGCAGCAGCAGCAAGAGCTGTGGCTTCACCAGAAGCAGCAGCAGCAGGTGCCAGAGCTGCGGCGGCTGTCACTCCCCCATTCGCCTCCTCCTCTCTCCCCTCGGGTCCCTTGACTCCCCCATTCACCCCTTCCTCTCTCCCTGCTGCAGCTGCGACTCCCCCATTTGCTGCTTCGTCTGCCCCGTCTCTTGCCGCCCTTCCTGCTGCTCCTTCTGCTTCTGCTGCTCCTTCCCCTGCTGCTGCGCCTCCTGCTTTCAATGCAGAGGCAGATGCGGAGGGTGACACTGAGGGTGACTGTACGGAGTGTGACTGTGTGCGGTGCATCGGCCGAGCGCCTCTAGAGCCCATGTTGTTGCGGAACAAGCCACCCAGATGGCACGAGCAGCTGCAGGTATGTGTGTTTATTGGGGGATGAGGAGCGGTGCACAGCAGTACAGGGGAGTATTAAGCGGTGTTCGTATGGAAATAGATGAAGCCGAGCGCCCTTAGAGCCCATGGTGTTGCGGAACAAGCCTCCCAGATGGCACGACCAGCTGCAGGTATGTGTGTGGGTGCTGGGGGGTGGGAAGCGGTGCACGGGAGTACAGGGTAGTTCAAGGGAGTATGAGGCCGAGCGCCTCTGGAGCCCATGGTGTTGCGGAACAAGTCTCGCAGATGGCACGAGCAGCTGCAGGTGAGGGGATACAAGGGGATATGGAGGAGTGCAAAGGAGTATAAGGGAGTATATGGGAGTATATGGGAGTATAGGGCAATATAAAGCTTTTTATCATGGGCCGAGCGCCCCTAGAGACTGTGGTATCGAGGAACAAGCCTCCCCGGTGGCACGCGCAGCTGCAGGTGTGTGTGTATTGAGGAAGGCAATTACAGATTAGAAAGCGAAATCTATCATGAAACATTGGGCCGAGCGCTCCCTCCCCTCCCTCGCCTCCCCTCCTCGCCTTCCAGTGCTGGTGCCTCAACTTCAGAGGGCGAGTAACGGTTGCTTCGGTGAACAACTTCCAGCTGATAGAGGGGGGCGGGCCGGGGAGCATCTCAGATAAGGCCCTTCCAATCCTCCCTTGCATCCCCTTTTCCTGTCCATCCCATACACGCTTCCAGTGCTGGTGCCTCAACTTCAGGGGGCGAGTGACAGGGGGTGCTTCTGTGAAGAATTTCCAGCTGATAGAGGGGGGGGGGGGGGGCGGGGAACGACTCGGACAAGCCCCCTTCTCATCCCGCCCTTGCCTCCCCTTGCCTGCCCTCCCCCTCCCACACTGCCAGTGCTGGTGCTTGAACTTCAGGGGGCGAGTGACAGTGGCTTCAGTGAAGAACTTCCAGCTGATCGAGGGGGGCGGGCCGCGGAACGACTCTGACAAGCCGGTGCTGCTCCCCCCTTTCCCACCCCCTACCCGCCTCCCCTTTCCCGTACTCCCTTGCAGTGTTGGTGCCTCAACTTCCGTGGCCGCGTGACAGTAGCATCAGTGAAGAATTTTCAGCTGATAGAGGGGGGCGGGCCGGGGAACGACTCGGACAAGCCGGTGCTGCTGCAGTTCGGGAAGATTGGCAAGGACACTTTTACTATGGACTACAGATATCCACTCACGGCCTTCCAGGTGTGTTATTCTAGCACAAGTGCTGGTGTGTATGGTGCGGTGCCTTGAAGGTGTTGCTGCAGTTTGGGAAGATTGGCAAGGACACGTTCACCATGGACTACAGATACCCGCTTACTGCCTTCCAGGTGGGTGCTTCTTCTTTGAATGCTAGTGTGTATGGTTCGGAGCCCTGCCGGTGCTGCTGATGCAGTTTGGCAAGATCGGCAAGGACACCTTTACCATGGACTACAGATATCCACTCACGGCCTTCCAGGTGGGTGCTGCCTGCCAGGCGTTTTCAGGTATCGTGTCAATATGCTTTTCCCCGTCTCCCTTCTCTTGCCCTTGACTTCCGGGCTGTTTTCTTTGTGTGTGCCCAGATCACGTGCGTTTTCCTTGTGCCGTTGCAATTTGCCTTTTTGAGCGCCTCACAAGTCCTTGCTGTGCTGCCTCATTACAATTCGTGTTAACTTACCCTTCACAAGTTTGTGCTTTCCCCGTGTGTCTGTGTGTGCCCACACTATGCGTGCAGGCATTTGCCATCTGCCTGAGCAGCTTTGATACCAAAGTGGCATGCGAGCGACTCCAATATTCTTATGGATAGCTCTGGCGAATACCTTTTCAAGCTGTGTTTGAGTGGAGTAAAGGATCAGCGTGCCAGCTAGATCATGGTGCAGAGCAGACACCTTTTCAGGCTGTGTTCCGGATGGTGTGGTGCTGATGTGTGGGGAATGACCACCACCACCAAGGGCACCATTTTGCAAACTGTTGGGGTGAATTACGGCATTTTCAGGAACTGGGGGAAGGAAAACAGTGATTCCTGGTTTGTTCTCAGACAGCTGGTGGTGGCGGTGTTTTATTTTCTCTGCAACGTGGTGCCATGCTGCAAATGAGATGGTAAGTTACCTGCGAGTATTTGTGTGATTTACCTATGTCAGATACGGGTTGGTTTTGAAGTTGTAGACAAAAGCGTTAGGGATGCAACACACATAACAACCCCCCTCAAGATAAAAGAGTGACAAAAGCGTTAGGGATGGGTGGTGGTGACTGATTCAGGGACATTGCTATGCTGCTGGCCTTGTTTGTTATTCAATGTACTCTTTGTATTGTAATGAAGTTGTGGATTATGCTATTCAGTCAGACGTTTACGCAACGTAGCCGAAATGCATCCGCCCTTATTGGGTACAGTTGACATGCTAAGGCCTGGACAATTGTCGGTTCAGCTGGTTCTACAACGGTTGGCTTGATACCTAGGCTGGTTGGGTAGGGTACTTTGGGACGCTGATTCAAATCTGACCTAATAAATGCGACAACCAGTCCTTCCTCTTCGTTGCCGGGAAATAGCCGTTTCTACGAGCTTCGCTGTTAGGATCCAGTTTTCCTCCACTCCCGCTTATCCATGGCCACGTCAGCATCCGCGGCGCCGGAGGCATGGCTGCAGAATCAGCTCCTAGCGATGCGCGACGCGCTGCCGTTCCTGGATGCTGACATGGTGTCAGGTCTAGTCAGCTACTGCCCTAATGCCTCCGATGCTGACGTGGCAGAGTATCTTTCGAATATCGTCGGCGAATCGGATCAGTCCATGGCCGTAGTTTCCGGATATTTGGAACGAAGGCGTCAGATAAAGCAGGACGGGTCGCCGTCTCAGCCGCCGCAAAATCTGGCGCAAAATCCGCCGCGAAACGCTCGAGGAAAGCAGCAGCAGCGGCAGCAACAGCAGCAGCAAGCGCAGGATTATAGTCACACCAGATACAGTCACGAGAATCCTAATATCGAGGTGTACGTGAAGCCCAAGTTCGACGAAGCTTCCGGATCTGTCCCGGCACCTTCCCGCAGGACCGGCGCAGGGGGAGGGTTGGGGGAAGGGGGAAGCGCAGGGGGGGCGGAGGCTCCGGAAGGTGCGGCAGCGAGCGCTGCTGCTGGCGGAAAGGTTGGCGGAAGGACTGGCGGAGGGGTTGGCGGAGGGGCGGGAGGAAGCGCGGGCGGGGGGAAATCCGCGGGCGGAAGGAAGCGGAGGGGCGGGGTGGCGGTGGGTCTGGCGGACTTGGAGCAGGGGCGGGTGTTTAAGCAAGGCGCGCCGTGCGAGTGCCAGGCGGCGATCCATCACTTAGTTAACAACTGCTTAGCGTGTGGGAAGATCGTGTGCGAGCAGGAGGGCGAAGGGCCGTGTAAGTTCTGCGGCGTTTTGGTGCTTAGAGGGTCGGATAGTATGGGGGATGCGGCGCCAGGGGTGGGAATGGGAGGAATGGGAGGAGGTGGGAGGAGGGGTGGGAGGAGCTGCAGCAGGGACAACGGAAGCTGAGGCGAAGGCTCTAGCGTTTAGGGATAGACTGGTGGAGTATAATCGCACGTCGGCCCAACGGACGGTTGTGATCGACGATCAGAGTGACTATTTCAAATCGAACGGTGCAGATGGGGATGGGGACGCTTGGCTGACGAATGAGGAGAGGGAGATTTTGAGGAGGAGAGAGGAGGAGAGGGAGAGGGAGGAGGAGGAGAGGAGGAGGAGGGTGGTTGTTACACTCGATCTGATTGGTCGACGGGTTCTCGTGGCAGATAGCCCTGGGGCTGACGTGGCAAGGGGTGGAGCTGACGTGGCAGGGTCTGAGGGAGCCAAACCAGGGCAGGAAGGTTCTGAGAAGCAGACAAAGGGTGCAAGTGGGGGGGCGAGTGGGAGGCGAGGGGGAGGTAGAACTGGTGTAGGGAGTATCTTCCTGATGGGGGGCCAAAATGACAAGGGGCAAGGAGACATGGAGCAAGGAGAGAGGGACCAGATCCCAACAATGAAGCAGGAAGTGGTTTCAGGGATAAAAGTGCTTATAAAAGGGGAAGGTGGCGGAGGAGGAGGTTCGGCAGCGGGTGGTTTGGGCCGAACCCGGCTCATGCCAAGCCCGAACCTCCCAATTGCAGCTCCCGTGTTTGTTAAACCAAGCAGTGCTAACAGTAGTAGCAATGGTGCTAGTGGTACTGGTGGTGCTGCTGTTGCTGGTGGTGCTGCTGCTGGTGGTGCTAGTTCAAATGAGGCAACTGGGCAAGGCAAGAAGGGCGGCAAGGGGAAGAAGGGGCAGCAGGAGCAGCAGCACGTGAAGGAGCAGGAGAGTGACAGAAGGAGAGGTGCTTATAAGGAGGGCATGGCGAGGCTTCAGCATGATTCCCCACTGATGGAAGCTATGAGGGAGATAGAGGAGGAGGTGGGGGGGAGGAGCGGGGGGGGGCGGGAACAGAAGGATTGACAAGGAGAGGGGTTCGAGAGGAGGTGAGGTGGGGAATCAAGGAGTGGGGTATAGAGGAGTGATTGGGGGAGGGACGGCAGGAGGGGGATTGGATTCTCGGGAGAATCGGGATAGGGACGGCCCGTGTGGCATCCCTGCTGACCTGGCGGGGCTTGCTGACCTGGCAGACGATGAAGCTGACGTGGATGGGAGGTTTGACATCTGTGTACAGACGGATCAGCGGGGAGGGCTGCTGAGAGGAGTGGGAGGAGCGGGAGGAGTGAGGGGGTCTGAAGCTGGTATTGATGGAGGGAGAGGGGGAGTGTTGCAGGATGGAATGGTGCTGCTTAAGGGATGGCTCACAAGGGAGCAGCAGGTAATGTAGTGGCTATATTCCAAGTTTCGTTTCATTTTCTTTCGTTTTATGCTGCCTGTCTTGATGTGTAAACCTTGTTAATCCTTGTGAAGCTTTTCCTCTTGACTATACTCAACTTGCCTTGAGACTCTAAAACATGGTGTAACCCTTTCTTTTGAGTGTACTTACCCTTCCTGCAGCTTGAGATTGTGAAGGAGTGCCGTCGCCTTGGCCTGGGGCCGGGAGGATTTTACCGCCCGAAATTTCTCAACGGCGGGCAGATGAAACTTCACATGATGTGTCTTGGGCAGCAGCACTGGGAGCCAAATCTCCGAACCTACCAGCCCCGCCGAACCTATGTAGATGATGCCAAACCTCCCGCTCTCCCCCTCTCCATCTCTTCCCTTGCTGTACAAGCCGTTTCTGCTGCCCAAACTGCTGTCCGAGCCGCCTCGGGCAGCAGCAACAAAAGCATCCTCCCGGACATGACCCCCTCGGTCTGCATCGCAAACTTTTACTCTCCCCGGCGCGGAGCCCTCGGCATGCATCAGGACAAGGACGAGCCGCCCGCATCGATCCGCCGGGGGGCGCCAGTCGTCTCCTTCTCCGTGGGAGACTCGGCGGATTTCCTATTCGGGTGGCAAAGAGACCCGGAGAAAGCAGCGAAGGTGGTTCTAGAATCAGGAGATGTGGTGGTGTTTGGGGGCCCGTCCCGGTTGATGTTCCATGGCGTGCCATGTGTGCATGGCGGGACGGCGCCTGATTGGTTGGCTCAGGAGACCGGGCTGCGGCCGGGCAGGCTTAATCTGACGGTCAGGGAGTTGTAGCAGGGCAGGAAACAACCTGACTGATTGTTTCCAAAACGGTGACGGTCACATGATTGCGGAGTGGTGTAGCAGGGTGCATGAAAGGGCAAGTTTCAAGTCTCGGCTTGGCTTGGAGACAGAGATGTGTGTTGTGATTGCTCAGTGCTGGATCCCATGGCTGATTTTGGAACTAAAAAGGGCAGCTGTCAGGGGGTGCCTGTTGGCCGGTCCACTTGGAATGAGACTAAGAGCATATTCCTACACCTCGTATCAAGCGAACCTCATACCGGTATCAGGCTCACACTGAAAATTCCCTTAAACCCGAAATCTCTCGCTACCGTAGTTTTACCAGGCAAGTCTGATACGAGGTTCTTGATATGAGCATAGAAATACGCTCTAAGGAGGGCCATGAATGGCTTTCCATTACAGGCGTGATGCATGAAGCGGTTAATCGCGACAAATCCTTACAATACAACTACGGTAGTAATAAAACAATGGTGAACATGCGGTGCACGAAATTTATCATTGATTGCAACGCAAAGCATTCACTGTTGCCGCGACCAGGGCCAATATACCGAATGCATCCACTTGAATTGCAGTGCAGTCTGTAGCCGTGTCTCCGCCACTTGTGGCACTACAGCTGTCGGATTGACTGCTACACGACAGTAGGTTAGACTGCTACAGCAGCTGCACTGCTTATTGGGGGACTCTAACACAGCCGCTACAGCTGCTGCAGTTGCTACCTCCACAGTGTAACCATCACAGCTGCTTCAGAATACTGCAGCAGTTATCGCAGCCACAGTTGCCACAGCCGCTACAGCTGCTGCAGTTGCTACCTCCACAGTGTAACCATCACAGCTGCTTCAGAATACTGCAGCAACCGTCACAGCTGCAGCTGCCACCGACGCTACAGCTGCTGCATTTGCACTACTTCCACGGTGTAACCATCCCATCCATCCCATCACAGCTGCTTCAGAATACTAAAGCAGTCGTCACAGATACTGCTGCTGCACTCGCACTACTTCCACAGCGTACCCACCACAGCTTATTCAGAATACTGCAGCAGTTATCGCAGCCACAGTTGCCACAGCCGCTACAGCTGCTGCAGTCGCTACTTTTACAGTGCAACCACCACAGCTTCTTCAGAACACTTCAGCAAATATCACAGCTACAGCTGCAACCGCTGCCACAACCGCTGCATTCGCGCTACTTCCACAGCGTAACCACCACAGCTTCTTCAGATCAGAATACTGCAGCAATTATCAAAGCTACAGCTTCCATGGCTGCTACAGCTGCTTCCCTGCTGCTACCTCTGCTTCAACCTTCCCAGTGCCAACCAACCCCTGAACCAACAACTCTGCCTTTTCCATTCCCACGTTACAATCACATCTCCTGTACAGCGGACTGCAAGTGACCTTTATCTGGATTTCTGAGCACCCACCCAGCTCCAGTACAGCAGGCGTGAAACACACCCTCGGACGCCTCTCCTGCCCAGTTCGTGCGCAGTGTACACTGTATAGTACACCTCGAAACTCATCACCTTAACCGGCTACTATTGTACCATTTTCCGAATCTCCGCATTTTTCAGCCCCCAACTCAGCCCGCCATGGCAATCACACCGCCTATCGCGCACCCGCCTGGTTCTCTCCCACTCCACGCGCCATGCGACGAGCTCCACCTCGGGATCGCCGAGCACCCAGCTCCAGTACAGCAGCGCGTGAAACACGTCCTTGCGCGCCAGCGCCTTGGGCTTGCCGTTGCGCCCAACCTCCTGCGCGCTCCCCGTGCGCGTGTTACCCGTCGCGTTCAGCAACCCGCGCTCATCCACCCGCGTTACCAACCAGTCCACGCCGCGCCGCCCGGCCTCCAGCAGACGCGATCTAAACTCCTCCGAATCGGTCCCATTTTGTATGTGCGGCGCGACGTAGAGATAGTACCGAGCCGCATAGACCAACCCTATGCCTTGATAGCTGCAGTCGTAGCCTCGCCTTTCGTAGTTGAAACCCGCTGCATCCTGCATCGCCAGTCCGCTTCGGATGTATTCGGTCGACTTCAAAATTAGGGTTTGGTTCTGCGTTAGTATCCCAGCCATGCCGAGAGCTGTGCCTGTTAGGTACCGCCTGTGCGTGTGCACCGCGTCATTTATCCATCCATTGCGCTCGATATCAGGCCGGACAAACCACGCCGCCATCGCTGCGATGTGCTTCTCCGTTTTCCGCAGCCACTGCTGGAAGACAGGATGCGCCGCCCAACGCGAGGATTTTAGCAGCAGGGCTGCCCGCGCGGCGGACTCCATGAAAAAACCCGCGCTGTGGTACACGTCCGGGCAGTCGAAAGACCCATCTTCCCGCTGCTGGTCGAAACCCCAGTCGTAGATTTTCATTCCGATTCGGGCAGCTTCGGAATTGTTGAACGCCAAACCCGCTTGAATAAACAGAAACCCGTAATACTGCTCCTCGATAAACCACTTTCCCGAGCCCGTAACGTCGTATTTCTGGTTGTGTCGCGAATACGCGCCGTTTTCGTTCGCGTGGCCGTTCAAATCCGCGATACTGCGCACCGATCGGTGCTGATCCAGAGCCGTGCATGTGGCGAAAGCGTTATCCAGGCGAAAATCGCCAGGGCAATCGGTGTTCGCCGGCCATTCGCCGTAAATTCGCTCGTCAAGCTGAGTTAAAAAATCCCGACCGAGAAACTTTGCTGTGAGCGGCTGAGTGACGAGCCACCCAACCCATGTCTGCCCGCCAACTGTCGAGCGAAAGTTCGTGTCGCGTAACGAGGCGACGGGAACAGCAGCCAAGCTTCTTCTGACGATAATCGAAGTCACTGCGCGGGTGGACGGTGAACCGACGGAGTCCCAGACACCATGCGCAATGAACCCGATCGCTCCGAAAAAATTGGCGCATAAAAATATCAGGATGGGGATTCGGCGAGGCTGGACAGATAAGAAGCTGAGTGTTTTGGAAGCCTTCGAACTGTAGAATAATAGTTTCTTATTGGTGGGGGATTTCAGATCATCTGGGGACTTGAGGGGCCTTGTTCGCTGACTAAAGTCACGGGGATCGGCGGACGCGGATGTTTTGGGCTCGGAACGGACATAACGGGGCGGCGCGCTCGTCGGACGGACAGGTGTCGCGACTTGCGATGCTGGTCTGGAGCTTGGTGCTAGGAGAGCGAGGTAGGCGGCGCGAGATGATGATGGCTGTGCTCCGCCAATTGGCGGCATGATATCAATTCACAGAAAACTGTGAATGGTGATGGATAGCGAATGGAGGTTTTCTATCGTTGAGTCTGTCAGGACGGCGATGGAGTTGAGTGAACATGGAGGAGAGAAGAGCAGCTGTGGGTGAAGCCTGGCCAGACACAACACATGCAGCTTCACTCCAGCAGAAGCCTGACAGAGAAGGGGCTCGATTTTCCAAACGAAGAGACCAAAAGCGGAGATGGCAAGCGAGGGAGGCAACAGCCGCACACAAGGCTGGTTGGCTTGGGTCCAAGCCGAAGATCCCACTTTCTGGCCTCGAACCAGAGCTGTTCCGATGGTTCGGAGGAGTCTGGTCTGGTCACTCACTGGTGGCTTGGAAGTTGGAGCACCCCAGCCACAAAGATTCTCCTTGTCACTCGTGCCGTCCGTTACTGTACACAAACTCAGCAAGTGCATCTCGGGCATTGCGGTGTACAGATGAGTGCTGCTGACGTGACGCAAAAAACACCTGAGTGCTGCTGACGTGACAAGGTGCAACGAATTGGACTTCCTCTGGCTGACTGCACGATGTCGTGACTCGCGAGTTGCCGCTCTCTGTGGATTACAGCTAATGCTCATTTGAGTTCCCCATACACCCTATTCTCGGTAATTGCACACCCCCTACCCTCTGTTTCAGAGGTACCCTGTACTTTTTCTGGCTTGATGTGACGGACACCCAGAGATTGATGAGGGTAATTATCGATTCCTGCACTTCATTTTCCGAGTGAGTAGTTGGAGTAGAGATGATGCCGTTAAACTCTTGTTTCTTTCTTCCACTCGCGAGTACGTTGCGAGACTGCCTCCTCCCGATAGATGTACAAACGTTGCTTGCTACCTTTCCTAAACGTTTAAACTATATTATTTACCCCAGGGTGTTAGATTAAAGGGTGTGGAATTATCGAGAATATGGTATACTTGCCTTATATTTTAGGTTTTTAAGTGATTCTTGCATTTCGCAAGAATTCGTCAACGTCGCAGCTAGCAAAAAAAGGCTTAAAAAAAAACTCAAAAGTTACACGTTGACAGTTTGACGTCGATCTCTTCGTTACCATTGATTCATCATCACTGCATTGACAGTTGACGTCGGTCTCTTCGTTATCATTTGTTCATCATCACTGCAACTTGCTCGGAGGGCTTGTAAACTGGGTGCAACTTCCCGGCACCAATTGTTCGTGGGCTGGGAATCGAATATGGACAGGGCAAATTCGCGGGCAACAGTTGAGCATCATGCGTCTATATTGTTGGGTGGGACATCATCATTCGTCGACCACCCAAGTCTGCGGTTACAATCCGTGACACATTCACGATAATTCGTGAGTGAATTGGCGACGAAGTTCGTACATCTGGTTCTGACAGCTGTGCACAACGATGGAATGTGGTGGACCATGTAACAGCTCGTAAAAAATGTCTTGATCGGATCCTGGCTGGCTCAGCAGTCCAAGTCGGGCGCATTGCATCTTGCAGCCATTTTGCATCTGTACAAATCCGGGCCAGAGACTCTGGATTCCGGACCAGAGATGCACCGTCGTAGGCAAGGATCGCGATTCGTTTTAGGGTACACTTCCCGATCCCGAGTTGTGAACCACTACACCTTGTCCTGCCCAGGAAATGGACGTGTGAATTTTTTTTGAAAGAGGTCCGACGATATGGTAGTGTGGAAACCCCCGTAAACGCTGCCTTGCTAAACATTTTGGGTCCCGCTGTCGACCCAGTCACTGTTGATCCTACCTCCTAATATACCTGAACAGATAAACAACCCCGCCCCTGCCCGGGGCAG